ATATTAATACTGAAAGGTTTAGAAAATTACATAAGAAATTATATTAATTTTATTAAAGAAGAAATAAAAGGTTATTTTGATATCATTAAGCAAAGTAAAACTGGAAATGAAAATGATATGTTAAAGAAAATTGAAATAATATCAAATCGTTTACAAGAAATAGTAGAAATAAAAACAACATGTAACCGTATTTTTTCTTGTTTTCGTAGACCTATCGAGACGATCATTAAGGATTGGAACAAATTATTATCAGATTATTTAAATGACTTATCTGAGGAAATGCATAAGTTATATTTAACACAAAGCATTGAATTTTTAGATAACAAATTATCAATTATAAAAATATTAAGTAACTTAGATTGGTTCTTAAAAGATAAGAAATATATTGACATTTATCATAAATATCAAGAAAAACTTCTGTTACAAGTCCATGATATTGATAAAGAAATGATAGATGCTATTAAAAATTTTGATTATGAGTTACTCGATGATAAAATGACGGCATTGCGACCATCAAACAAAATTGAAAAACATTTTTATGAAAAAGCAAAGCGATTTCTTAGTATGGGTTTAAATCAATTAAAAGAAGATACAAGAGGATTAACACTTGTACTTACTCATCATTTAGAAAAAGAACAAATTAAATTAATAGTTGAAAATTTAAAACGACTAGAAAAATCTAAATTTGTCATCGAAAAACATTTAAATATTTCACATGCTATAGATGAGTTTATTGAAGAAATGAAGAAATCGATTGAAACAAAAATAAAATACTTTTTAGATCGTATAAGAGCTCTTATTATAAATTACAATTTTTCTGAAGCTGATGAAAAGATTGATTCAGTTATTGTAGTACGTAATTTATTAGGAAAATATTGCATAAAATATATTTCAGATCATATAGAAAATTTACAAAACTATGGAAAAACAGTTGTATTACCAGATATGATAAATAGATATTCACAGATGGATATTAGCGAATATATGTTGAATCCACCAAAGAATATTTTTGAAAAACTTGCAAATGTTAATAGTACAAATCAAATTTATAGTGAAATTTTAGATAAATTGAGAAAACTAATTTTAGAAAAATTTCGAAACGAATTAGAACGAGCTAAAACAAAACAAACAATAGATATTACAAATGAACATATAAGAAGATTTGAATCTGCTGTTAAATATTTACCTGAGTCAATGAAAAATGCTCTTGAAATTGAATTACAGCATTGTAAAGACGATATAAAACGTCTTATACAATATAGTGAACTGAAATTACAAGATTCATCTGTTACTGAAGAAATAGATAAAATCAATAATTGTTCATTTGAATATCAAAATTTACAAGTTATTAAATCATATTTTAATAAAGGTAAAGAATTAGCTTCAAAACGAATAGACAATATTGTTGTTAAAATCCATCACAACTTAGGAAAACAAAATATTATAGAAGCATTAAATGATATGAAAATATTATATAAATATAAAACAGAATTAAATATGTATATTAATGATATTGAAACAATATACGTAGAAATACATGTCGACATAATATGTATATTTGAAGATGCTTACCAGCATTTTTTAAATCAAATTTTAACTGTTCATCAAACAAATCATGTAAAAACTAAAACTGAAGTGTTAAAGAAAGATGTTACATGTTTATTTGAGTTTATGAAATTTAGAGATGATGTTCAAAATGAACAAATTTCGAATTTTGTACTTCCAGAGGATTTTGATGAAAAAATGACGAGATTATCCGAAAAAATAGGTACATATTCAATTGAACACGCGAAAAATTATAAAGTTGCTTTTGAAAATTTCGACATTTCAAGTCTAGTAGATATTCTTAAAACTATGTACATATGCAATTCTTTATTAACACAAATAAAAGTTTATCATGATCAACACATTAAAAAAAATTCAATCATTAATACTATAAAAGTAAATTTAGAAAAACTCACACCATATCCAGATATGTTAGAATCTATATGTCAAAAAATTGAAAATTTAGGAAAAGAATTAATTAATACTAAACTATTCGAAAGTAATAGAAAGTATCATATCAAAGATCGGGATGCCTTCTATCGAGATGTAAATGAGAAATTTTTTATTCTAAGCCAAACTAAACGTTTTCATCCGTTTCATCTAAGAATTGATGTAAATAAGCTTGAAGAAGAATGTTTAGAGTCAATAGAAAAAGAAATTTCGATTATTTATTCGAATGTTAAAAAATTTTTAGATAATTTTTCACAAGAAAAACTATTAGGAAGGCGAAACTATGAGAATTTCAATAGAAACTATTGTAATTTGATATCAATCGAACGAACAATGAAAAAAATTCCGTTTCAGAGAAAATTTACAACTGAAGACATTGAAAAAATAATTCAGGATAAAATTAAAATGTGGGAAAGTTCTATTGAAGAAGAACCAACACTAGAAAATGTTGCTAATAATTTAATAAAAATGAAGGTAGTTTCAATGGATATTTCTTGTCTTGAAATTGGTATTACAAAACGAATAGAGGAAATTCTGTCTAATTTTAAAAAAGTACTTAACGAAGTTGACTTTGCTACGTTAAATGTAATTGTAAATGAAACGGGGTTCGAATAAGTCGAACGTGAGAGTGAGGATGACTTAGTTTTAATGTTAGAAAATCACTGAAAAAGGTATAGATTCGATCTAAAAGAGAAAAAGCCTCATAGATGTAAGATCTTCCAGAAGATTTTTTAGGATTAACTATAGTTTTTTAAGAAGCCCACTCAAGTAGTTCTAGTCTTATTCAGTCGCTAGACGAATTAATATGATTGAAGATGAGATGGTTTATGCGCAATACATTTCTGAAATCTCTTGTGATTCATTCTGTGAAAATGAATACAGATTCTTCATCAATTTGTGCTTTCTTGTTTCACATTTTGCTTATAATAGATGATTTGTTTTTTATTCTCCTGGCATGCTTTGAAATATTTTATTGTTATCAGTCATAGTTAATCTATACCTTGTTTTGTTTTTGTTGTACTCATCAGCTCTCGTTTAATATGCAGTTATGTCCTTGTGTATTTATTTCTCTTACTTTTCCATATGATACTTCAATAATTAATTATTTCAGTGGGGTGAGGCTGATGGTTTAGTGCTATTTTTGAATTGTCTTCTATTTTGACGTCCTTTACAATTAACATGAAAGTAATATAAATACAGTCTTGTATAATATTTATTTATCTTTATCAAAAAAGTCTGAATAAAAATTTTCAAGAGTAAAAATAGAGTGTGCGTGTGGGTGTGGTGTGGGTGTGGTGAGGGTGTGGGTGTGGGTGTGGTGTGGGTGTGGTGAGGGTGTGGGTGTGGGTGTGGGTGTGGGTTTGGGTGTGGGTAAGGGTGGGGGTGTGGGTGAGGAGTGTGGTTGTGGGTACGAGTATTGAAGTTATCTCTTCTCCCGCACACTACCCACACCCACACCCACACCCCATCCACACCCACACCCCACACCCCACCCACACCCACACCCACACCCACACACATCCACACCCACACCCACACCCCTCGCTGAAAATTTCACCAAACGTTCAGTTTTTCACGCTCTTTCTAATGATGTAATTTTTATCAACTCTGCACGAGATCAAAAATTTCGAACCGGTTGATATGAAAAAAAAACATTCATTGATGATTAATCACAAGTCATAATTCTGTCAGTAGTAACTATGTGCTTTATTAGAAATAATCGACTATAGAACTGATGATTAATATCAGTAAGCACGAGTTATTTTAGAAGTACTGAGCAATTCTCCTGTCGCGCGCAAAAGCAGAGTCTAGGTCTTCTATTATTTCTCGTTTACTTTAATAATTTTTTATTAAGCCTTCTCCACTCCCTTAAAAAATTCACTTTTTATCAAAATGATCGAAATTAATATGTTGTTTTTAGAAAAATCAGAAAATCTTTTTCGTTTTTTCTCAGTTTATGCTTTTTCGACAGCGCAACCCATATTTCTTTGTCTAGACTCATCCTATGTTTTTATTTCTTTTTGTTAGAAAGAACTTGTCAAAATGCAGGACATGAAGGAGTCCTTTATTTTTAAATCGAACTGTGTTTTTATTATGTATAAAGATATAGATATTTATACACATTAAGCACAATTTTTAAAGAGATTTATTCAGTCATCCCACTTGTTCCGTTTTTGGCCCTAAAAAGAAATTATTTAAGAAAAAGAACTCAATCATGGCCTACATCCTGACATGCTCTTTCAAAAACAAAAAATTAAATATATAGGATGAGCTCTGATAGGGAAATTTGAGATGTCAAATCAGCTATTTTTGAGTCTTGTTTGGTGAATATCTCTGTCATACGTCATGGTATCGGGCTGAAAACTTAACCATAACTTTTTTGAACATACCCGGACTGAGGTCAGTTTCTGAAAAAAAAGACCTTAAAAAAGTTTCCCAGAAAACAAAACCGAGTTTAAGGATTTGAGAAACTCAGAAAAAATTTTAGTCTGTATTTTTTTATGATTTTTCAGCTCAGTATTTTGATAACTCTGTATATAAATAATTTAAATTCCAATTATTCGAGAAATTAATTAATTTAAAGAATTTTTCTATTACTTTAGCGTACTCCTAACTTTGCAACTGTTTTTGAAAACGACATAAATCATGATTTATCTTAATGCAATAAATATATAATCTTTGTTAGACATTATATCTATTTGAATTGATATTGTCAATATAAATTATGAACCCAAGATAAAGACAAACCAATTTATAGCTTCTTGATTACATTTATATTAATATAAGTACATCATTTCTAGATTAATTGCCAGAGTAAATGAGAGTTTCATGATTACTATTAACAATTCATCAATAGATATGTATATATTTGACATTTAAAAATAGTATACTATAAAATTTCGTTACTATTCCATACAAAAACATACAGTATTTGACAAATCCTTACGTCGCAGAAAAATAAATAACTTTAGAAAACAAAATACAATAAATAAAAACAAATTTAACTAAGCAGCGGATAACGATTGTTCATATTGTGTCAATTGTCCAACAAAGTTTAAATTTGGATTAACTATAGATCGTTTAGTTCTTACAAAATGATGCGCTTCAGTGAATGTTTTTGAATGATATTTCATTAAATAACCGATAACAAATGAAGAACTACGACTCACACCTCCTTGACAATGTACAAGAATGTTTTTGTTCATTGATAATTTTTGATGAATATATTCAAATGTTGTTTCAAAATACTGACGTATATTTTGATGTGGTGAATCATGACAAGGTAATCGAAGATATTCAAAAACATTATCATTTTCAAAATAACAAGGAATTGAAGTTGATACATTAATAATAACTTTTATTTGATGTTGTTGTAATAAAGTGAAATTTTCAGCATCTTGTGAATTACCAAGATACAGACCAGGTAGAACTTCAGATATTTGATAAGATCCAATATCTGTTTCTACAGCGGCCGATGGTGGTGGTGATGAAAGATCTTCATCTGTTGATCTACTAATATAGCAAAATAATGGATAATTTTGATAAAATTCATCAAATGGTGATTCCAGTACATAAATTGTTTTATTTATATCGAATCGTTTTATTTCATCGTATACACATTTCATTGAGGGTGAAAGTTGTGATTGAATAGATGAATTAGAACATAGGGATGATACACGAATAGAATCATCATATAAAATGAGAATTTCATTATTTTCTAAACGATTGAATTGATTAATATCTAAGAAATTTTTTAAACCACGAGTTGCTAAACGTTTTCGCGATATTTTATCATTCACATTTAATAATATTGAACTTTGAATTCGTCTTTCTGCATGTCGTAATGTTGAACCACAATCAATAATTAATACTTTTCGATCGATGTTATTTATACATGCCGTTATATGAGCAGCTAATTGAGAACATGTTATAAATACTGAATTAATACTTTTTTCATTTTCATTATTCATAACAGTGACAGACTTTTGTTGACAGGCAAGCATGTTTTTTTCTGTTGTTGTTGTTTTCGATAAGGTTAGTAAAAACAGGTTTGTTCGTTTCTGCAGTTGAAACGCTTCTTATATAGTCGAATTGTGAGTGAAGAAGGAGGGAGGCTTTAATGACGCAAGAATCCACGTGCAGATTGTTGTGTCTTATGATGATATTTACCCTGAGACTCATGAGCAAATAACTCTATTGGTTGGAAAAAAAGCAAAAAAGAATGCGTCAAATGAGACAATATTTGAAGTGTAGGTAGTAGTAAGTGGGAGAAAAAACGAGAAGCGTGGAGAAAAAAGCAATCATCACATTTTTCGTTCTTTTTTTATTTTGTACTCTTGACATAAGGCAAACATCTGTTTTTGCGTTTTTGCTTTATTTCATTTCCATAACCTGAATATTAGACAAATGGTACGTAATGATCATTAATGTTCGCTTAAAAGCCATTTTCGACATGGTACTGATGATATTCCTGAGTCATACTCATTTACATCAAATTTCAAAGGATAAATCATTTTTGGTAATTGTGTAATCCATTGCTGCACAACACATGTAACTATTATACGAGAAAGAAAAGCCTTTGGAAAATTGCGTCATCAGATTTTTTTTACCATTTTAATCCTTTACTCTCACACTTGCGGTCAAACTCGATATATTCGTGACTCCTTCTTTGGCCACTTGAAATGGCACGGACTATATAATTTTCTCTCATCATAGAAAATGACTTCAAGCCACCTAGTGATTTTTTCAGATACAAAATCTAAAGAGTGTGGGTGTTTCAGTTCTTCTCACACATCCACACCCGAACGAGAAAGAAAACAACCGAGCAACGTCATTCGTTGTATTGCTATTCTTTCCAACTTTTGTTCAATTTTCATTTGTACAGTACCTTAAGTGTAGTCACATTGGAAATCTTGCTTCATACATTAGTTATTGTTCTTTAATTCTTTGAGAGTGAAGTTTGTTTTTCCTTTCTTTCAGAAACGAAAAAGAGAAGCGAAGACATTATAAATTCAATTGCTTCGATTCGTTTTATGATGGACACCCTACTAGTTTGATCGAAGCAACGAGAAAAATTAATTCTTTTTGGGATGAAGTAACAATTCAAAAATGCTTTTACTTGTCAACTTGATTGCTATTAGCTAAGGAGTGGTGCAAGTAAAAAAGCTGCACAAATCGTGCTTCAAGGTCAGAGACATGCATTGCGAGTTATAGCAGATGAATATAAATTGTTTATTCACTAATTTTGGTCTTATCTTGATTATGGAATGTCGATAAGATTTGCACTTAAAAATATACTTCTATTCTTACCGCATTTCGTATAATTCATTCTTGAATTATGAGTTGTGAGTTGAAAGTTTTAAAACAAACTCTTCCTTTTTATTTTTCGACCAATGAAAAGGAGCAGCCAAAGTATTATTGCATCGACTGAGAATCAGAGTTTCGTGCGCGAATCTTTCAAATAATTGATAGTAAAGTTTTAAAGATTTCCAATGCAGTAAAACAAAATGTTCAAGATTAGCAGAAAAAAAAATGACTCTAAATTTTCTCAAGATGAAAAACTAATAAAAATTGATTGACAAGATAATGTACTGGTGAATAGTTTTCTGGAAAATACCTATCAACTATGAGATTTTTGGTCAGAACAACCATAGCATGCTCACGATTCCTTCTTTTACAGATTTAAGAAATGAGGAAAGTCATGGATGAAAGCCTTCTGTAAGCTTTTCTGTTATTAGCTCACATTATAGAGAACTCCTTTACTCTTTCAGCTTATTACAATTTTTATAATAGCGAAATTGATGTAGGTTGTTAGAATGCCTCACATAAACAAATCATGTTTAAAGAAAATAAAATAAGAACATGAAATCGTAACTTTTTGATACGCGTGTTGTAGAAATATGATAGTAAGCTAAAGCAGTTTCTGAGTATTGCATTTTATGATACTCTACGGTTATGTTAAAAATCAAAAGTCTACTAATACGTTACTGAACATTAAGTGATATAAACAAAATAGCGTTTAGTTTCTGATAAATTGAATGAATAAGTTTGTATTGCATTTAGAAAAGACTCGAATCATTCTAACCACATAACAAAGAGAATAAGTGATCAGTAAAATCTCATGATACATAGATTACCACGTCTCATCCTAAAGAATTTTATTTTATTTCAAAAGCCATTTTCAAGATGATTCAACTCAAATTATTAGCAAAACAAGTGTTGATTCATATTTTGCACTTGAATATAAATTCTTCTTGAAGTGTATATGAAATGTTCATCATAAGCAGAATCTTATTCTTTACATCAACAAGAAAAAATAGTGCCAAATAGAAAAATTTGCTAAAGATCTAGACGACTTTCAAAGACATCGCTTTGCAAATTGAGTACAATGGACTTTTTTCAGCAAATTACTGTTAGTTTTTCTTCGAAATATGACTGATAAGGAAAAATCTTTCCTCACTTGTTTTCTACTGTGAAAATTCTTTTTCTTTTCATATGATCTTCATGCCATTTGCGAATTAGAATCGATTTCGTGTTACTCTACACGAAAACATACAAGTGTCTGCCTAACAATGTGACCCTTAGATGAAGAAATGAAATTCCAATTACTCATATCTTTCATCGAACGTCGAACACGCTTTCTTTGTAATATTTCTTATGATTCAAAGACGATGTGAGTTAGGGCGTCAGAGTTTTATGTAGCAGTTTGTGATTAAAAGCAAACAATATATTTAAAGAATGAGTCCAAAATGTTTGACCAAATTAAAAGATTATTTTCAAGCTTTTGATTAATTTCGACAAAAAAAATGAAATAATCTTCAATTGAAAAATAATTGATTTTTTTTCTGATTAACTTCTGCCTTTAACATTAGTCTCAAAATGGTGGCATTTATTTGTTCTTTATTCACTTATAAAATAAAACGACGCATGTGTTTTCTGTTCTGTTTGTTAAAAGTTTAAAAAGAAGAAGAAAATTTTGTTTTATGTGCTTTATATCAAAGTGTAAAATTCATATTTTAGCTTTTATTCTTATATAGTCATTCGAAATTAAGTTTTCTTTAGTTAAATTATGATGTGACGGATGGAAATTTTAGTCTGGTTCAATAGCGTTTAATTTTAGTGTGGGTTTAATTTGAAAACAAATTTCTTTTAGTTATTTAGGTCAAGTTAGATTACATCGATTGAAGCCAGATTTATCAATTAATGAAGAAGATCGACAACGAAAATGAATATCAATGAATTTTCGACATAATATAGAATCATTTAATAAATATTTTCGCTGAACATGTTTGTAATTTCTTTACAGTTATTATCAAAAATAAATTCATCTTAAATTTTTTTCATTGAAATTAAAAATTGTTCATCGATTGGTGAATATTCAATTAAATTCAACAAAAATATAATATTATCATAGAACTTGTATACATCATTTGACTTATTTGAAACAGAATAAATTTTAGAAGAGGTAACTTTTTTTTTAGCCTGATAGTCGACAAATTGTTATGAAAAAAGGTTGTTTGTTTTTTTTATGTTGTTCTTATATATTTTTATATTTGTTTATTATCAACGAATATTGAATATCTACTGTAGCATAAAAAAATACATTGCATATTTCGGTAATTATTTATATCCATGGTTCAATTCTATCATAGCTAAATTCATTTTCTTAATGAGTTTTATATATAAGAATGTATTTTATTAAATTATTACGAAAGTACAATTTTTTTGTATTTGATATAATATGGAATAACTAGACAACAAAAATGATCATATAAAAGTTCGGTTATTTTTGTTTTCGATGGGTGTGGGCCTAGCCTACATCCACATCAACACCCACCATCAAGATTGCCTAATTCGATACATCAAGAAATTACAAGGTTTCCTTATGGGACCAGATTGGTATGAATACTTTCTTAAAGAATTACAACTACAGATAATTTCAAAAATACCTCAATCTCAGTAGCAAGTATTCAAGATTAATTTGCTGGAAATCAGAGTACCTATCTCCTCTTACTTCCTATGCAATAGAGAGTTTTCTTTATTTATTCCACGTTAGAGGATTTTAAGATATAGAAAACTGACGACTTTATTTTTCAAACAAGTTTTTCTTGTCGATGTGACATTTAAAATAATCACGTCTACTCAATCATGTAATAGCGATACCCTTTTTTTCGTTGATATTTATTGATTTATGTAAACCTTTGCTCATCAATACCTGTGCTCAAAGTAAATTATGTCACATCAATAGAAAGAGAATTTTGTACTCGATAATTCCATTACTCTTTTAAGGTTCATGATGCTGATCTCAAGTTTAAAAATAAAGACAGTTGGAGCGGACATCCATACGTACAGAAACTGCCGTAACAATAGAAAATTTCGCTAAACGAGGAATTCATTGGAAGAATTTGTACGAACTCAAAGGATCCCAAAAACATTTCCACATGCCATATTTATCCAAAAATCGTCTGAAAATAAGGTATATTTCGAAAAATTTTCCAAACGCGTGTTCCCCAAAACGGGTAGATGCTGCATCTCTGTTGAATTCTGTCAGTGTTTATGAGTATATTTTGATGTATTGTGTTCGCAAAGCCCAGACTTGGTCTCGAAGAAATTTATTATAATATCATCCGATATAGAATTTAATTCTAAACGAATTAGTGTAAATATTAAATTGAACAGTATAATTATTTGTTTGGTTTCGAATCAAGACATAACAACGGCATAGATCTACCAGAAAATATTTTTTTCGCTTTTTTCACATTTTTTACGGCAAAACTTTTTCTCATGAATATTTGTTCCACATTTGGGGTGGGGTGTGGGTGTCGGTGTGGGTGTGGGTGGACGTGAGTGTGGGTATTGGTGTTTATGTGATGAAGGGAACCTAAGCTACTCGGATACCCACACCCAAACTGAATTTAGCAGCTGATTTTGAACCGACCATAAAATAATAAAACATGTTCTATTATGCTGTTTGTTTAAGTTAATGAATATTCAATCGTGTGAATTAAATTATATTAGAAACAATCTATAGAATAACTATAAATCGGTATTTAATTGGTAAAACATTTTGATTCGATCATATGGATAAACAAAATAGTATTGATTCCTATCGATTATTGTCGAAGTTTCTATTAAAATCAAATGAAACAATGCTTCACTATGACGGATAAATGTGTTTCAATACGAGAAATAGATTATGTTTTGTTTTGAAGTCAATATTTCACTTATATTGGACAAGAGTGATGTTTTCAGATATTTCTTCAAGAGGAAAAAATATCACAATCCATGATGATTTATGCAAATTGAACATTCCATTCCTTTCTTTTTTATCCTTTGAACATGATGAGAATATATCATGTGATCGAGATTTGAGACTGAAGATGAAGAGATCAACTTTCGATTTGTCATAAAAGTACTTCATGCATCAGCTAAGACCACCTGGATGCATATGATTGAAAAATTTCTAATTATGAGTCGCTCGTACTCAGAAAGATTCTGAATCCATCTGTAATTGAATTTTTGTTCGTAGTAAATAGTCGAAGTGATAATCAATATTTAAGAATCAACATATACAGTGGGAGTTATGCAAGCATCTACTGACAAGATGAGTTTCGCCTAAACGGCAAACTAGGTGGAGATATGAATCTTCTGCAACGCGGACAAAATGATGTGAAGTATGCTAAAGGTGAAATTGGCAAGTATGAAAATGAATTATTTTGTTTGCACATTTGCTTGTTTTTGTCACTTGATGTTTTTCTTCTTTTGCCATTCTCATGTTATGTATCACCCAAAGGCGTTTGCAATAAATTAGCTCCCATTGGCGCATTCACTTTCATTCTTCTTCGTATCGTTCTTTTAATATACGTTGTTGATTTTTCAAGGTGTAATTATTTCAAACTGCTCTGTGTCTGTGAGGTAGAATACAATGATTGAATGTATGGTAGGAAATTGTCTATGTTCATAATATGCTAGTTGTAGAAAGGTGCACGATATTTTCTCATTTTCAATATATTCATATATATGCATGTATGTATATAGCAACAATTGATATTTCTATTAGATGACAATCTTGATTCCTATGTACAACATGGCAGTTAGACTTCGAACAGTTGAATGCGACATAAGGTCCTTGACACTCGTAATTCTATTACTAGAAAACTTGATGTAAATTCTAAATATTAAGTTTAGATCGAGTTTTTAGTTAGTAGATCAATAATTCTACTCAATTCAGTATAATGTTGTCCCTTGAAAGAACATTTCTGATTGAATATACGATTTATCTCGTAACAAAAAATATTGCGAGTCCATGCTTCCATGAATTTGCGGTAAGATGTTCAATAAATGCAGCCAAATCAAACTCATTCGAAAATTAGATGGAAAGATACTAGTTTTATCTTATTTTTTCAACATTCGATTTGTTTTCAGTCTAAAGAAAGTCTTTTTTTTTATGATCAAGATAAAGTGATTGCACAAAGGGGAGATAGAATTTCAAGTGATTTGTGAAGCTACAATGAAAAACGTTTGTCTTTAATTGCATTCCATTCTCTTGCTTACATACAAAAATAACGAGTTGAACTATATGATCAGTAGAGTTCTGTGAGTACCCCTTTTTCTCTATCTGAATCAAGAAAATTATTTTTCTTCCAATCGAATTGTATTCAATCCTGTATGATCTAACTCATAAGTAGTAGCATCATCTGTTTCTATCTCTCATCCATTGTAGTTAGTACTCTATTGTAGGGTGTGGGTGTGCGTGTGTGTGAAAAAAGATCTACACTCCCCACACCCCTCAGAAAGAGAGAAAACAAATTACTAAGAATCTATAAGTGGCATTCAAGCCTCTCCAAACGGCTACGTTCCTAATTAAAAGTCTCCAAATGAAATATTAATGAAACCTACAATCTTCCATTTGAAAATGTATACCAGTCTAAAAGAATTTTTACAGTCCCCTTAAGTTATTTACGTGCTGTTTTATTAACTTCATTGTTAAACTGTTGTTTGAATACGCATTTTGCACGTAAATTACTGTTCTTGAAACTCATATATTTTAGCAAATATCGTAGGTCTTCGTTATCAATTAATTTAGCGAATCTAATGATCCAGGCCATATTAGCAGAATCTACCGGAATTAATCTGATCTCGATCATTGTACGTATTTTCTGAATGAATTTATGATGACGACCTATGAAATATGTTTAAAATATATATGCTTAAAGTGCAAACATGTCGGTATAAAATACGCAATCGAACAACAGTCTAACAAATAAATTAATGAAACAGCATGCAAGTCTTCTATCGCAACTAGAAAATTATCTTAACTCCATGCATATCTCTACTTTGGATAGATTCAGGGTTATAAAATTGCAACTGTGTTACGTGACACTTGTGTCGATCATGATAGAAAGTACATTTTTGTCAGGCATGTCATTTCACATTTGTGGCTCATTATGAAAGAAAGTTCACTTTTCGACGGAAGCAAACTATCGTATATCAATATGATTCCCTTTGTTATTGACTCATTCATTATTTCCCTTTTTGTGTTTTTTCAGTTGCTAAATCTTGACTGGCAATGGCCGGAGATGCTATTATTACACCAATCGCAGACAATGGCACTTTCCTTAAAGGTCGCCAACTCATCATTCCTCTATCTTTGGTTACTTCACTCTTCTTTTTGTGGGGCTTCTCATACGGCCTTCTCGACGTTTTAAATAAACATTTTCAAAATGTTCTCAAAATTAGCAAGCTCCAGTCTACCGGGCTACAGATCGTCTACTTCGGTGGTGGATACTTCTTCTTTTCGCCGATCGCTGCCGAAGTACTCAAACGTAAAGGTTACAGGGTAACTATTGTCACAGGCTTGATTCTATTCGCTGTCGGTGCTATTTTCTTTTGGCCCACTGCTCACTTTTCAAGTCCAGACAATTCTATGAAAGCATTCGGCGGTTTTCTTGCCTGCACGTTTATCATTGCTTGTGGTCTTGGAGCGTTGGAAACAGCGGCAAACTCATATGCCACTGTTATTGGTCATCCAAAATCTGCTTCTATGCGCTTGCAATTTTGCCAGTCATGGAATGGCGTAGGATCGTTTATCGGTCCATTTGTGGCATCTAAATTATTCTTTTCAGGCAGTCATGCTAACAATCTTAATAGTGTTCAATACGTCTATCTAGCTATTGCCTGCTTCATTGCATTACTCACCATCCTCTTTGTCTTCGTCAAGTTACCTGAGACTTCACATTCGGATAGTGACGACAAATTTGTCGATAGCACAACTAAACCATTGTGGAAGCAATACAACATGATCTTTGGTTTCATTACTCAATTCTGCTATGTTGGTGCTCAGGTCAGAAAAGGATGTGGGTTAGGGTGTGGGTGAATGTAGACAGTTCGTAGCAACTGTAGAATGAGTTTTTATGCTTTCATTTATATCTTTTATTGAAATATTGCTTAATTCTTGTAAACTTAATCCATGAACATTTTGATTGATGCAGGTCACAATCGGTTCATTCTTCATTAACTACGCTACTGAAAATGCAGACTTTTCAGATGCCGAAGCTTCGAATCTTCTCTCCTATGCACTGATTACGTTTACAGCTGCTCGATTCGTTGGCACTGCTTTGGCGCATTTCTTTGAATCTAGCTTTATTCTTATGTTTTATTCGATTGTGGCTACTGCGTTTTCAATCTATGTTTCACTGGGTCATGGTCGTGCCGCCGTTGGCGTTCTTATTGGTATCTATTTCTTCGAATCTATTATGTTTCCGACGATCTTCGTTCTTGGAACAGAAAATCTCGGTCGTCACACACGTCGCGGAGCGGGTATTCTCATCATGGGTGTTTCTGGTGGTGCTGTCTTTCCTCCAATTCAAGGCGTCATAGCCGATGCCTATTCCACTCGAATCTCATTTTTAGTTCCTATGGTGGGTTTCGTTGTTGTTTTTGCTTATGCTACTTTTCATTGGCTAAAAAGTGGCTTCCAGATGAGACGTAGACGTTGCGACGTTAATGTCACCGTTGGTTCTATTACTGTACAAAACAATACATTGACTGTTGTTAATAATCAACAGCCATTCAGTCCTGACGACAATTTAAAAGAAATGTCACTCACAGACACATCAGACTCAACATCAGATTTTACAGAACTCGACACGCAAGTCTTAGAAGACATAAATCAAATTATTATGCGCACAACAAAGTTTTAACAAACACTGCACTTTATTTTCTGAATATTTCGCGGACAACTGAACACAAAATAAAGTTTTTAAATCACAAGGAAATATTATTTTGAATGTCACCTTCAGATCGACCTAACAAGTAGTCGTTCTAGTAGAAAATTTTACTCTAATGATGAATATTGCCATCTTATCTGTTCCACTGGTGTTGCTGTATGCGTAGGAAGATTCAGTTCATTTGATATTTTTTTGACTCTAGCTCGAGCATTTTGTGGAACATGATAATAAAAGAGTGTTGAAGTATATATCAAGGAGACGCGGGTACATATAGTATGGTTCAAAAACAGCCCACTAGCCTTTTTAAAAGAAACTCGTTAAAATTTTATATGGAATGAAATTGCATACTAGGATGATCATTAAGGGTGTGACTGTGGGTGTGACAGTGGGTGTGACAGTGGACGCGAGGCTGAAATTCAAGATCACGAGAATATTCACACTCACACCCGATCGTTAAATAAATCTGAGTATTCAGATAGGCTTGTTATCATTGAGAAAAACACTGTTCTTAACAAATTGATCATTGGCGACGCAATATTGAAGTGTGTGGGTGTGGATGTATAGGTGTGAGTATGTGAGAAGGCGATAAAAGATCTACTGTCACACACTCACGCACACCCATACGTACATTCACACCCACACCCACACCCACACACCCACCCACACCACGCCCACATCCACACCCGCACCCACATACCCACACCTCAGACCCACACCCATCCTTCAAAGACTATTCGTACACTTAATAAGATCTTTGAAACACCTTTTAAAGATCTTTCAACAACCTTGAAATGTTTTTGAGATACTGTCTGAGACTTTGAAAGATCTTTCAAAGATGTTTCGAGCATCTTGCAAAGATNTTTTTTTGTTATTGTTATTAATAACAATAACTTTTTTGTTATTTGTTATTGACAACAATAACTCTTTTTGTTATTGTTATTGTTATTAATAACAAAAAATAACAATAACTTCTCACCCCTACCGAAAACACCTAAAATATTTTTGAAAAATTTTTTTTGTGGGGGACAAAAAAACGTTCTTTTCAAAAATATCTCGCTTGAGATGGTAACTTTGGCATTTCATAACTTTTAATAGGAATAATACATGATTCTCAAATTTTCACTGCTAATAGGACACAGAAAGATGTATCTCTCCTGAAAATTTCAGCTATTCATTTCGTTTCGTTTGCTCACGATAGCCCTATGAAAGACGGAATTTTGATAAATGTGGGGACATTGAGGATACGCTTTGTCTCAAGATATGTATTGTCTGGGGCATTGGTTATTAGAACTTGGAAGTACTCTCTTTGGGCTACAATTCTGTAAATAAATTAGCGTGGGATCTCCAACAACGACTCTAGGGCACTCATTGCCAAATACAAAAAAATGAGCCTTTTTTATAGGAAATCTACCCTAAGTGTACTTCGAAATTCCTTCAAGGATTCTACTATGTGACATAAATTTTATATGATAAAAATCAGCATCTAATTCTCTATTAGTCTATATCGGAATATCCTTTGAAAATGAAAAAAAATTTTTACGAAAAACCGTCCTAGGGGGGTACAGGGCTTGTGAGAATAAAATGTTAAAGAAAGACCTGGAGGGGGTAGGGAGGTTTTTCGTAAAAATGTTTGTTTTTCATTTTGAAAAGATATTTTGATATAGGGCAATGGAGAATTTAATGCTGATTTTCACTACATAAATTTTATACCACATACTTATTTCCTTGGAGGAATTTTGAATTGCACTTGAGTAGATTTCCTATAGAGAAATGCTCACTTTTTCATATTTTGCAATGAGTGCCCTGGAGCCGTTGTTGGAGATCCCACGCTGATTCTTTTACAGAATTGTAGCCCAAAAAGAGCACTTCCAAGTTCTAATAACCAACACCTCATATAATCGATATCTTGGGAGAAAGCCTATCTTGAAAGTCTCCACATTAATCAAAATTCCGTTTTTCACGGGGCTACTGTGAGCAAATGAAACGATATGAATAGCTGAAATTTTCAGGAGAGATACATCTTTTAGTTTCTTATTATTAGTAAAAATTTGAGAGCCATACATAATTTCTATAAAAAGTTATGAAGTGCCAAAGTTACCATACATGCACCTTTTTTCGTATATTGAGTGCTTCATAAAATTCCAATGGCTCAATGTTTTTAAACGAAAATTTTATGGAAAATAGAATTCATTGGGGTGCACGATAATAAAAAGTTTCAGCTTATTTGGTTGAACCATTCATGAGATATTGTTGCATTAGGACCACCATTTATACATATGGCCAGTTTTATGCCTTTTCCTATAATGCTCATAAAAAGAATCGAGAGTTCAATAGTTTTTGAACCTTTTTGTGTCAAAAAGTCATAAAGCTCTTTTCTTCATAACATATCTTCAATTGAACAAGTTCTGATGATATCGATTGAGCAACTTCGGTCGTTGCTTACAAGAACTGGTTCTTAAGGCTTTTCGCCGTCTTGATGAAACTTTGATATAGGCCATCGAGGGTTCTGAGTCCGAACCCGAAATACTTTTTTTTGGTTGACGTTTCATTGGTCGGGAGCTGGCTAATCAGAAATCAACTTTTTTATTTTAAGAATTTTTGCTCTTTTGATGGAACGTTACTAAGGAATCGAAATCTTTGTTTTGCACGTAGTTCCCTCGACTGAAGGGGGATCATACGAAATAAAATGCATTTGTTTGTTATCTTGCTTGATTGCGGTCGAAAGAAACATATCAGAGAGATTAGCTTATGATAAGACTTTTACTTTTGAGTGAACTTTGCTGTAGGCTATCGAGGGCCCTGAATCCTAATATAAAGCCCAAATTTTCGGCTGAGGGTTCATTGGTCGAAAACCGACCAATCAGAAACGAGCTTTCTTATTTTTTGTGGCAGCGCAAACAATATTTTTGTTTCGAAAATTTTTTTTAGCTAGAAACTTACATTTTTGAGAACGCTGCACTAATATTTTCTTAATGAGGGATTTCGATAAGACTCTGATTTTTCAGCTGCAGGATGAAATTGAAGAAATCAGAAATAGTACACAACGAAGCTTTGGTTTAGAAATCCCTGTCGAGAATTCTCATGCTATAGATCTAATGGTATTTTGAATTAAGCCGAGTTTCTGAGTAGATGAAGTGTAAAGAAAGAAGTATAGTGCTGTGGAGATATAGAACGAAGCAGAGCAGCGGTTAGTCGTGAGTGGCGTCCCAGAGGGGCGCCGACGAACGGCTAGCCGCTGCACTCGAAAGTATCTTAAAGAAATGCTTCAAGTTGCTGGCATTCATCAAATAGACTTCAAGAGTCTAGGTAATACGGGTTTGAATAAGGAGTAGCAGTTGCTAAGAACTGAGAAATATTTTGAAATAAAGTGTGAGAACGCCTTTTCTGCACGTCTGCGATATTTAATAGTACATTTGAGGGAAAATATTATTTATAGAACTTATATTCGTTCTATCGGAATGCTATTTGAATGGAATAAACGGGGGTTTCCTAGGTGGGATGCTTTCTTGTTGATACTGATTCAAATGTCGAAATGTATATAGATATATTGAAATTACCTATCTTGTATGATGGCTAATATCAGTAGAAGCTTTTTTCAAGTGTGGCAGTTCGATTATAGACCAGACTTAATATGATTAATTGTAAGCTAGAAGTTCAAGTAAGTACTATTTTTCTATCGAACACTCTAGTAAACAATATTGTCCGCAGATGTGTCAGTAAGCGAACGAACTTATAGTAAAAATTTTACGGAGTATGGCGCGTTTTCACGAAAGTGTCACGAATGAGCTTTGCTTTATTACCTCCCAGAAAACTGAATATAAGCTCCTTTTTTGAGTACATATGATATCCTCGTCATAGTGTGGTTGCTTAGATTTATTGCAGTGTGAATGTGAGGCTATCAATTTCATTGGATGCATTCGTGACAAAATGTTCATCCGAGCCAGCATACAGTTATACACAATGAGATTGACGTCAATGTCAGCGTAAACATACCTACCCACCCTCTTGGAACATCGGATACTAGCTGGGTTGAAGACTGTCGATTGGAAGAAAAAATGGAAAGGGCCGAATACGCAGTCGAGGGCCAAGCGAGTCTCACAGACGAGCGTTACTTGTATATACATGATTAGGGGTATGCTAGCTCAGCTCAACCTCATAAATAATGAGCTGTTGAAGCCGCTCACTGAGCCGAGCTGAACTGTTCGAACAGCTCATTTGAGCGAACCGAACTTTTCCAAACAGCTCAACTCACATGAGCTGAACTGTTCGAACAGCTCATTTGAGCGAACCGAACTTTTGAAACAGCTTGTTTTATATGAGCTGAACTGTTCAAACAGCTCATTCGAACGAACTGAACTTTTTGTAGGGGTACTCATAGGTCCTCAAGGGCTATCCTATAGGGGTACTCATAGGTCTCCGAGGGCTATTCAATAGGGGTACTCATAGGTCCCCAAGGGCTATCCTATAGGGGTACTCATAGTTCTCCGAGGGCTATTCAATAGGGGTACCCATAGGTCCTCAAGGGCTATTCTACAGGGGTACTAATAGGCCCTCAGGAGTTACCGTATAGAGGTACCCATAGGTCCTTAAGGGCTATCCTATAGGGATATCCATAGGTCTTTAAGGGGTAGTCTATAGGGATGCCCATAGCTCGTGAAGAGCTATGCTATAGGAGAACCCATAGGTCCTCAAGAGCTATCCTATAGACATACCCATAGTTCTTCAAGGGGTACTCTATTTGGATACGCATAGGTCCTCAAAGGCTATTCGATAGGGATATCCATAGGTTGTCAAGGACAATCCTATAGGGATACCCATAGGTCTTCAAGGGCTATCCTATAGGGATATCCATAGGTCTTTAAGGGCTACTCTATAGGGATGCCCATAGTTTGTCAAGAGCTATGCTATAGGAGTACCCATAGGTTCTCAAGAGCTACCCGATAGAGATACCCATAGGTCTTCAAAGGCTATCCTATAGGGATACCAATGGGTCTTCAAGGGCTACTCTAGAAGGGTACTCATTGGTCCTCAGGGGCTACCCTATATGCGTTCCTGTGGGTTGTAAAGTCCTGTTATTGACAGGTGCCTCGAAGTCCCCAACTGCTATTATAGAGGTTAACTTCGAGCTTCTGAAGGCCTATCATAGAGGGGTACCTTTGGCACTCCAAGTCGTCTTACAGTAGGGAGCCCCTAGGTCCCCAATTCCTCTAATAGAGAGGTATCTCGAGGTCTTTACTCCCATTATAGAGGGGCAGCTCTAGGCCACCAAGTCCTATTATACGGAGGTACCTCGAGGTCTTCAAGTTCCAGTGTAGACGAGTACCTCCATGTCTCCAAGCGTTATCATAGAGGAGTAGTCTTATATTCCCAAGTCCTATTATGAAGTCATACTTTGAGATCCCTAAGTCGCATTCTAGAAGAGCAGGTCGAAGTCTCGAAGTTCTATTATAGAAGATATCTCGAGGTCCGTAAGTCCCATTACAGAGTAGTACTCTTAACACCCGAAGTCCCATTGTACAGGGGTCCGACAGGTCCTGAAGTTCTATTATAGAGGTGTCCCCCAGCTCCTGAAGTCGTATTATAGAGGGGTATCCCTAGCAGTCGATGTTTTAATATAGAGGGGAGCCTATACATCCTTAAGCCCTAACATAGAGGATTCCTGTGGATCCTCAAGTCCTTTCGTAAAGTGGTGCCATCAGGAGCTGAAGTCTTAGTTTAAAGTGTACCTCTAGGTGTTCATATCCTACTTTTGCGGCCTATATGTGGGTCGTGAAATCCGATTATAGAGGGAGCTCTAGGACTGCAATACCTATTAGAGAGGGGTATCTCTGGGTTCTGATGTCGTATTTTAAGAGGCACCGACGACTCCTCAAGTCCTATTACGAAAGATTACTGTTAGGACTTTTGGTCCTATTGTTGAGTATCCATAGGTGCTGAAGTGCGATTATAAAAGAGTACTTTCAGGAGTTGATGTCCTATTTGAGAGGAATACTCATGGGTCCTCAGGTCCTGTTATAGATCGGTATCCAATGTCCCTTAAGTCCTATTTTAGAATGGTATCGTTAAGACCTTAGCACCTGTTGTCGAGGACTATCCTCAGGACGTCAATTTCTATAATATAAGATGTCATAGGTCTTCAAGTCCAATAATATAGAGAAACTCTTTGCTCCATAAGTCCTGTTATGCGGAGGTATCTGTTGCATCTCAAATGACATCATGTAGGGGTTGTCATAGGTATTCAAGACCTGTTCCTTAGAAGTGCCTGTATGTCCTCAGTTCTTCTTGATATAGAGATACTAAGAGATCGTCAAGCGCTATTAGATAGAATGCATGTTTGTCCTAGAGGAGTACGCTTTGGAAGTATCGTGGCTGTTGACAAGCTCTTCTGTGGAGCTATTCGTTGTTAGTCAAGCCAAATTATATAGATGTCAGTGTGCAATCTGAGATTGCGTCTTTTCTCAGATTGGCCTAGACAGATGTCCGATCCGAAATTCGACGCGTCCACTCAAAGACTGACATAATTATATTCACTAAAATATTAACTACTCTTTAGATATACCTTGGATTGGATTTGTTTTCTTTCTGAGTCATGTTTAGGCTAGCCCTTAAAGACCTATGAGTATCCCTATAGGATAGCCTTTGGGTCCTATGAATATCCCTATAGGATAGCTCTTGAGGATCTACAAGTATCCCTATAGGTAGCCCTTCAGGACCTATGAGTACCCCTATAGGATAGCCCTTAGTACTTTTGAATATCCCTATGAGATAGCCCTTGAGGACCTATGAGTACCCTTATTGAATACCCCTTGAGGACATATGGCTGCCCCTATAGGATACCCCTTGAGGACCTATGAGTACCCCTATAGGATAGCTCCTTAGGACCTTTGAGTACCCCTATAGGATAGCCATTGAGGACCTATGGGTACCCCTATAGAGTAGCCCTTGAAGATCTATGAGTATCTCTGTAGGGTAGCCCTTAAAGATCTATAAGTACCCCTATAGGATAGCTCTTAGGGTCCTATGGGTACCCATATAGGATACCATTTGGGGTCCTATGGGTACTCCTATAGGGTAGCCCTTGAAGACCTATGAGTACCCCTATAGGTAGCCCTTGAGGACCTATGAGTACCCCGATAGGATAGCATTTGGGGTCATATGGGTACTCCTATAGGGTAGCCCTTGAGGACCTATGAGTACCCCTATTGAATACCCCTTGAGGACCTATGACTACCCCTATAGGATAGCCCTTTAGGACCTTTAAGTACCCCTATAGGATAGCCTTTGAGGACCTATGACTACCCTTATTGATAGCCGTTGAGGACCTACGAGTACCTCTATAGGGTAGTCGTTGAGGCCCTATGACTACGCCTGCAAACAGTTCAGTTCGTTCGGATGAGCTGTTCAAACAGTTCAGTTCGTTCGGATGAGCTGTTCGAACAGTTCAGCTCAAGTGAAATGAGCTGTTTCAAAAGTTCGGTTCGCTCAAATGAGCTGTTTGAACTGTTCAGCTCATGTGCAATGAGCTGTTCGAACAGTTCTTTCGCTCATTTGAGCGGAGTTCGTGAGCTGAGCGTGCGTACCCCTATACATGATGACGAAAGCGAGGTCCAAAATATTTATAAGCACTTAAAATAAACATTACAAACCAATATATTTGATCGATTACTTCTCTATTATTAAAATTATATTCTCCCTTAGCCATTGCAATAGCAAATCGAACAGCCATATTTTGAATATCCCATAGACGAATTATTTGTAAATCTTCGTTTAAGAAAGGACTATATACAACTTTTGAAAAGAAAGTTGAATCAATATGTTTCAATGAAGGATCTGATTGAGGTGCAGTATCAAGAAAATCTAACAATGCAATTATAGATATGATATCATTTGCTTTAGACAAATGAGTAAATAATTGTCGAATTGAATGAAATGAAAGTGATTGAATAGCAAAAGAAAATTGTTCAAATTGAATAAGTGAATCGAGTTTAAGATGTCCATTTTTATCACATACTGATTGAAAATTATAAGCAGAAGACACGAGAACAATTAAATAAGGTATTTTTTCAATTTGATCATCTTCAAGAGTTATAAGTTCACCAGAACTAAAGCAAAATGTTTTCTTCGTTGCTGTTAATTCATCAGCATTGTCAGACATTGTTTGATTCAAAAAAGAATTAGAAAGGGCTTGACTAATGTATTTATTTCATTGTAATTGCCAAGATAACTATGTAAGCTGTCTTGAGAAAAAAAAAAAATTTTTCTTTCAACATCGTTGAAGAATTTTCACGTGGATATAATAAGAAATGAGTAATCATGATATTGTTCTCAAACATGTCCTTCGAATGAAAAAGATTACTTGTATAGTTTTATTTTTTTTTCTCGTAGAATAGTCTATTATTTCTTTATTCTTTCCTTTCTTTCTGTATAAAAATTGAAAATTTTCAAAATCAAATAAATATGATTCATTTACATTTGGTCCCACGTATGACAAATTTATTTCCCTTAATTTTGCTTACTTAATATTTCCCATGTAATAAAAAAACGCATTGTCGACGCGTATAAACGCGTTTTTGTTGCAAACAGCGATATTTTGATGCACTTTGCACAAAAGAGAGTTTCGAACGCTGCTAAACGCATCCTGTACATGTCGTCTGAATGCGTTCAAAATTTATTCGTCGTTCATGAACACTCATCAGAAAAAAACGCGTATACACACTTATAGACCTCAAATCAAACGTGTTTGTACTCGTTCTAGAAACGAGTTACTAGTGTATATCTGAAAAAAGGTAACAAACGCATGCAGATGTGTTTTGGAATCTCATGCAAAACATATTTCTATGCATTTACGTTGCATTGTCACTTGAGTTTTATCATGGTTGAGAAAACTCAGCAGTATCCGGGTAAAACTGTCTTCTATTGCTACAAACAACGAAGTCTACTACAGGGAATACTTCTGCTGACTCAATAAAGTTCCTACGGTGCATTAACATGAGTAAGTTGTCATGAAGCAGACTGGTGTTGGTCATAATAGCAGTCTTTATAGCTACCGATATTCAATCAGCAAGACTAGTTATACCTAGAGTAACAATGTAAACATAAGCTCAGCAAGTTGCATCATCACATAAATGTTGTTCAAATTTTAAGATAAACTTAAAATCCTATATTATAGCATTAAATACCTATGAATGCCGGAAACTGAAAGCAAAAATTGATTTTTTAAATCAGTTGGTATTAAATGTAGGGTGGATGTGGGTGTGGGTGTGGATGTGTGTGGGGTGTGGGTGTGGGTATGTGTTTTTGTCTTCTAGTTACTCCCACCCACATCCTCCCCACACTCATGCCCACCCCCACATCCCCACCCCACACCCACCCACACCCACCCACACCCACCCACACCCACCCACACCCACACCCACACCCACACCCACACACCCACACCCTACTAAAAATTGTATGCCATATTCCGATCAACGAGCAAAAGATTTTTTTAAAGATATAGAACATCTTATTCATCAACTTTATACCAATCCACTGCCTCGTAAATTATTTAATCGTGCTCAGAGTGTACATCGAATTATCAAAAGCATCCAACATAAAATCAACAATCAAAATATTATTATTCGATCTACTGATAAAAGTAAAGTATTTCATCTACGTAGTGTGCAAGATTATCATCGTAAAGCACTACAATACATGAATAAAATTAATGTTTATACAGAAAATTTATACGATATTAATACATGCCATGAACATATTGAAAATGTTTTAACAATTATTGATCCAATGTTGAAAAAGAAAAATATTAATCTTGATCTATGGAGATCTTATATGATTCCCAATGAATAAACAAGTGAGTTAGCTCATTTATACTTTATACCAAAGCCACATAAAGTAAATTTCCCTGAGGCTTATTCGATAATCTACATACTTCTCTCTACATTTCTACCATATCTCATTTTAGATTGGCACACCATTGAGACCAATTGTTTTTTTAATAAAAGCAGCACCAACTGGTGTTTCACATTTCTTAGATATAATATTACGACCATTATTTTATGAAGTGACGAGACAAACGACATCAATTCAATTGATTTCGTTCGACAAATAGAGAACTATCGAAATAGTGGTCGATTGTCATATACAACCTTATTTGTTATATTCGATGTCAAAGATCTATACACAATGATACCACATAACGGTGCAATATTAGTATTACAGAAATTTTTATGTAATACTACAAATAATCAACGAATTCATGAACTGACGATCGATACTATATCACGACTGGCTCGATTAGTTTTAGAAACTAATTGTTTTATATATGAGAATCAATATTACACACGGATTCGTGGCGGTGCCATAAGATCACCGTTTACCATGACCTTAGTCAATATCTATATGTGGAATTGGGAATGTTCGTTAGTTTCATATCAACAAACTCATGGTGAAATCTATGGTCGCTAAGTTATCACAATCATCTGTCTTTTACTATAGATTCAATAATATTTTTGTTGTCTATTTACTAATTAGTTACATTGATAATGTCTTTATGACAAGCAATCGTTCATTTAATCAAATTATTGTGCAACTTCAAACACTTAATGAACAAGATGAAAACATTCAAATAAGATGGAAAATAAGTTCGACTGTAGACTTTCTAGATGTATTGGTACAAAATAATCACGGTGAATTGAAAACTTCAGTATTTCATAAACCAGCAGCTGAACCGTATATTTTACCGTTTACATCCAATCATCCACGTCATGTTCATCGTAGTACATTCAAATTACAATTATTTCGCGCTGTACGGCTTTGTTCTCATGTAGAAGACTTCGACAATAAACGTTTAAATATTGAATTGTCATTCCTATTAAATGATTATCCACAAAAATTCATTTCATATCATTTAAAACAATTTCTTCAACAATATGGTGTTTGTACCCTATTGCAATATCCTAATCAAAGCCTATATGATAAATTACATGGACAACTATTAGCACAACCAACACTTCGTGAAAAACTAAACAACCAACAAGCAAACAGCTATCAACAGAAGATTTACACGGTTAATCATGATATTCAAATTCAGAGTACTTACGAACGTGGTTGTACATTACATTTTCGAAAACAATTAAAGAAACTATGGAAGAAACATTATATTGACAACAATCCAGTAAAAAGAAGTTTTACTATAAAATTTTCAACTAAAACTAAAAAGAACTTAACGCAACTTTTTGTCAAGAAGAAACCTCCGAAATCTATTCTTAAATACATTCCAACAACAGAAACCAACACAACAGAACACAAATCATAGAAACTGCCTTGAAATGAACGAAAATGGACACATTTTCTATATGTAATAACACAAAGACTCTATGTATAGAAAAAACAACTCTTTCATTACTCGTTCAGCCTGTAATAAAATAAATTTCTTTACCTACTTTTTTTCCACACAGATTTTATTAACATCTCATTTCTTCAAATATTCACACTTATTTATATACTTTCAGATAAAATCAACTTAATCTATAACATCAACAACCTTAACATCAACAAAACTGTTCAATCACGGAAACAGATCATTCACAACAAGCCACAAAAAACAATAAGTCGTCCTTCGCGAGCCAAACTACGAAAATCACATTCAAGGCAAACAATACAGATCAAAACTCAAATCAACAAAAAACATTCACCGAACGTTAAAACAATCAAACAAATCAGCTAAGCACCAATCACAAAAATCCACTATAAACCGTGAGTAAAGGCTTCTGTAGCGGATCGTAGTTTTTCTTAAACACAATACACACCCTTACTATATTTCAGAAATACCTCTACTTTGTCTTCATATGTATATATGGACTAAAAGTGGTAGGATTGTTTTCTATTCGAAAATTTATCCTTTCAATTTAATTTATATATATTTATTCATGGAGAGCTAAAGCTACCTGATGAGGACCCCTGAGAAAGGTCGAAATCTGGATCGTAGTTTTTCTTAAACATATTACACACCCTTAGTCCTCTTAGTACCTTTAGTGCGCTTAATTAGTCCGCTTTATTAGTCCGCTTAGTCCTGTTAGTCCCATCAGTTAGTCCCCTTAGTCGCCTTAGTTCCTTTAGTCCGCTTATTTAGTCCTGTTTAGAGCTGCCACCTTTTCGTCTTTTAGCAGAAAAATTCTGCCTTTTTTCTGTCCTTTCTGTTTTTCCGATTTTTTTCGGCTTTTTTAATAATCTGCTTTTTATATCTTCAATTAATATTTTTATATCTGAAAGACCGTCTTCAAAAGTATACAAATAAATTCTTATCAATACTTACTGGTATCTTTGTTCTACTCTAATTCTTTTATTGAAAAAGGCATTATTTTTCACCAGCTGTGAAAAACTACCAATGTGTTTTTTTGTTTTTATTCCGTTTTTTACCTATATTTTCCTTTTCACCATATATTTTGTTTTTTGTTACATAGTCCCCTAGTTCTTTTCTTTTTTGTTCAACTGTTATACATATGTTCCCGTCCTTTTCTTTTCTTTTCTCTTTTCTGTCCACCTGTTTTCGTATGTTCTTGCTCGTCTGACCGACTTTTTCTAACTGATGACTCTTATCAATAAAAATGATCATTGTTTTAATTCTTTTTATTGTTCATTATCTAAAAGGGTGGCGAAGCTTCTCGTCTTCTTCCTTGAATCATTTCTTTATCTCTTCCCTTTATATATATATAGTCTCTGTTTGTGTAATAAAAAATAGTAACAACCTTCATTCATTCATCGCATCTTATATTTAACTTTATTTATCTGATTTATACGAATAAATATCTACGATTTTTGTTATTACTTGACCAACATAATTACTTAATATGATTAGAAATATTATTGATTCAGAAAAATAAAATGACGATGTTGATGAAAAAACAACTGATGATGAAGATAGAACTGAAGTTCTGGTTGCGGTCGAAAATTTATCATCGGCAGCAATAGTAAAACCAAGAAGAAAGAAATGGAAAAAAGGCATTTTCAATAGAGAATGGTTAAAAATCGCCGAATATCAACGATTTTTAAAAGAATATAAATCGGATCCGTCTCAAGCAACATATATAGTCTGCAATCAACAGTTTTCTATTCATTATCGAGGTAAAACTGGCATAGATAATCATATGAAGACTCAGAAGCATCAAAACAATATGAAGTAGTGGCGTAGCCAAGGGATGGCCAGGCAAGGCTCAGCCCCACCACCGGAGCTTCGAGCCCCACTACCCAAGAAACTCGGTCCAGTCAAATTCCATTTCGAGCCCCACTATCGAGCAGAATTTCAGCAGCTGAGCCCCACCACCGCCTCACCACCGTGCAAATTCTGGTTACGCCGCTAATATGAAGTCTTTTGATATAAATCAACAGTTAATAACAAATACAATGAAACCTTCCAAAGAAAAAGATGAAATTGCTGCAGCTGAAGGTACTCTAGTATGTCATGGTGTTAAACGTGGACATTCATTTTTATCTCAGCAATGCTTGATAAATGTATGTAAAACAATATTTACATCTTCAACAGTCGCAAGTAATTTATCATGTGCTCGAACCAAAGCAACAGCCATTGCTGTATATGTATTATCCCTATGTTTTACTCAATATTTACTTGATGATATAAAAAACTCCTCATAATTTTCTTTGTTATATGATGCTAGTAATAAAGGAAATGCCAAGTTATTTCCATTTTGTGTTCAATTTTTGTCTGTTACAGGTGTTAAAAAAGGTCTGCTTCCTTCCTGAGTTTGTCCAACTTATAATTAATTGACATCTTTTTTTATCGTTTTAGGAATAATTGATTTAATTGATGATGCTGATGAATCAGTAGTTAAAATTTTTGCAAATGCGCATCAGTTGCTTTTAGATAATGGTTGAGATATACATGGATTAACAGCATTAGGAGCTGATAACACGAACGTCAATGTGGGTAATAATCATTCAGTTTATTCATTCTTTAAAGATGAAGTACCTGATATTCTGAAAGGTACAGTACTTTTACCTTATTAAGAAAGTTATGGAGCTTTGTAATTCAATAAACTTTGCGAGTTTGACCATCAGGAATTAATTATGCATGACAAGATTTAATTTTTGAGCCCTTTCAAACTAACTAATGCTCAATGACATATATATTCTATTGTTTTTAGAAAAGATAGTTGTTTATTTTTTTAAAGTAAGAATATGTTTTGTATTCTTTACTTCTAGGCAATTGTTACAGCCATATATTACATAATTCTGTAAAACATGCTCATCCTGGGCTTCCAATCGACATTGAGCAAATATTACTTTCTATATATTCTCATTTTTCACGTTCTGTAAAACGTGTCAATGAATTAAAACAATATTACGAATTCTATAAACAAGATTTTAAAGTAAAATGTTTTGTCACTTGATCTTGCTTATAACCTGATCGAATTTGCAATACTTTCTGCTTTTTTTACAGGTAACATTGAAACATATAAAACTGCGGTGGTTAAGTCTATACTTATCCATCAAGCGTTTAGTGGAAGTATTTATCCCCGTAAAGAAATATTTCTTGGAACAAAAAAATTATCCATTAGAAATAAAACAACTTTTTGAACGTGATGAAGTTCCATGCATTTTAAGTTTTTTGCAACATATATTATTTGAAATTCATAAGAAGAACCTCGAATTACAACGCTATTATACAATAGCTGTTGATTTATTTCGAATAATAACATCCATAAAAAATAAACTTAAAGAACGTATTGATTCTCAATTGTTTTGTGCAGCTTGTCGATATAGATTGGCACGTTTACCAATTGACAAACAAAATATGTTAAAAACATCATTTATTGAATTTTTAAGTACAATTATTTCGTACATCGATTCTTATTTCGATCAAAACATAGTATTTTATCGAACAATAAATTATTTTAGTTATGAAAATATTGAAGCTTTAACATGGAATCAAGTTATACAATGTGTTGATATGTTAAAAATAAAAGGCTCCAATGAAGATTGTTTATTCGATGAATTTACAAACATAAAATCAATGTTTAAAACTATATCAGATCAAAGTATTCCAATTTTTCATCAAGTTCAAGCATTTGTTAAAAAACAAAATGATATGACAGTAACAAACATATGTGATGAAGTAACAGACATTGATGATAATTATTCAACAGGGGTCAAGATTGTAAGATCTGATCAATTATGGATGTTATTACTTTCCCTCATCAAATCACCAAATTTTAAAAAACTCATTTGTTTTTTATATTCATTACCTTGTAGCAATGCTTACGTCGAATCAGCATTCTCACATATGAAACATTTATTAAATGATAGGAGAAATTCTATGACAACAGAACATACTAGAGGCCCCTGTGAAGGGTTGGACTCAGTGAAGAAAAGCACGACTCCTGGAGTGCCTACTCCCACTGTGCTCCCCTTTACTATCCTGTACCTCCAGTGCGCTCCAGTGTACCTCCACTGTACTATCCTGCACCTCCACTGTGCTCCCCTGTACCTCCATTGTGCTCCCTGTACTATCATGTACCTTCACTGTGTTTCCTTGTACTATCCTGTACTGCCCTGTGCTATCCTGTACCTCTACTGTGCTCCCCTGTGCTTCCACTGTATTCTCCTGTGCCTCCAATATGCTCCCATGTATCTCCACTGTGTTCCCCAGTACTATCCTGTACCTCTACTGTGCTCCCCTGTGCTTTCACTGTGCTCCTCTATGCTTCAACTGTAACTCCCTGTACTCCCATTGTACTTTGGGAGTCTCGCCTTTCTCCCCTTCATTGAACTTTAATATTACCGGAAAAATTTAATATTATTAGAGAAATTGATTTAATTTACATAAGAAGAAAGTTCCTGAATGTAAAATATAATATAGATGACTGACATATGTATATACATAATGAGTAAATATACGCGATGTACATATAAATATATATATGTATATGTATAAATTCTTTTTTCGTTCTGTGAACAATCATATGAGAGTTCCCGAAGAACTGAAAAACACTTGTACATTATAATATAGATTTTTGTAAATATATAAACTTTTATTCTCTTTATAATATGAGCCAAAATGAGATATGACTGACATATATATACATGACGAATTAACATGCACGACGTATATACATACACATAATGAACATACATGACGTACATTTATATATGTATATATATACTTTTTTCTCGTTCTGTGACCAATCATATGAAAGTTCCTGACGGAGAAGAAAACTTGTCTATTATAATATAGATATAGATATCAGCTGAATTAAAAGTACGTTTAAATTCAACTTTATCATGTACTGAATTATATAAATATATATTAAGTAGTGAAGATTTATTACGAGCTATTAAATCAGATGAAAAGTATCAATTTAAAGGAAAATCTGTTTGATAATTATATTTATTTTTCTAACTGTTTTTTCTTGATTTTGAACAATAAATATTAGGTTCTATGTGAAAGCACCTCGTTACAACATTGAAACATAACTTGACAATAGTTTTATATCAAAAATACACTTTCTGTTTCTTTTTCTGCTTTGTGACAATAAATCTTCTGCCAATTTCTGCTTTTTGAAAATGATTTTCTGCTTTTTAGGGTTCAAAAGGTGGCAGCACTGGTCCTGTTAGTCCCCTCAGTCTCCTCAGCCCCTTAGCCCTCTTATTCTCCTTAGCCCTTTAGTCCCCATAGTCCTCTTAGTCCCCTGAGTCCTCTTAATCTCCTTAGTCCCTTAGTCCCCATAGTCCCCATAGTCCTCTTAGTCCTCTTAGTCCGCTTAGTCCGCTTAGTCCCCTTAGTCCCTTTAGTTCCTTTAGTCCTCTTAGTCTCCTTAGCCCCTTGGCCCCCTNCAGTGCTGCCACCTCTTCTGCTTTTAGCAGAAAAATTCTGCTTTTTGAAGGTTTTTCTGCTTTTTTTCTGTCGTTTCTGCTTTTGGGATTTTTTTCTGCTTTTTAGATTTTTTTGTCATTTATATTTTCAATCAAAATTGTTGATATTTTAACCGATCGTTTTGTCAAAATGTCAAGAGATGTTCTTGTCACTATCTAACGAGTTTTTTTCTCTATATTTTATGTTAGAATAATATCCTTTCTATTGGCTACCGAAGATTTCCAATCTCTATTTTTCGTCCTTAGTCCGTTATTTACCGATATCTTTCTTTTGCTCGCTATTCTTCATCAGTCAGCTGATTCAAACGTTATCAATATATACTTTCTTTGTGTTTGTTGAGCAAAAGTAAACATACCTATATGAATAATAGTAGTTGCACATAAACAGAAAGAATGAATGAAGAGGATGATGATTGCATGATTGGAGAAGAAGAGGATACTGAAGTAGTAGCCACTTCTGAAAAATCACAAGTGCCTACGGAAGTAGACAAATCGAAGAAAAGAAAACCGAAAAAAGGTGTGTTCAATCGAGAATGGTTAAAAATTATTGAATATCAACATTTTCTGAAAGAATATAAATCTGATCCATCACAAGCAACATGTGTCGCTTGTAATCAACAATTTTCTGTCCATTATCGAGGAAAAGCCGATATTGACAATCATATGAAGACACAGAAGCATCAAAATTCTATGAAATCTTTTGAAATCAATCGTCAATTGATAACACAAACAATGAAACCGACAAGAGAAAAAGATGAAGTTTCTGCTGCTGAAGGTGTTTTAGTTTATCATGGGGTGAAACATGCACACTCTTATTTAGCTCAACAATGCTTGACAAAAGTTTGTAAAACGATTTTTCCAACTTCATTGGTAGCAAATAATTTATCATGTGCTCGAACGAAATCAAGATCTATTGCTGTTAATGTATTGGCACCATATTTTACTTATGCACTACTTGATGATTTAAAAAAATCGTTTTATTATTGTTTAATGTATGATGCTAGCAATAAAGGAAATATGAAAGTATTTCCATTTTGTGTTCAGTTTTTATCTTCAACAGGTGTTAAGAAAGGTGTGTTTTCTTGCTGGTTTAACCTATTCTTTATTGACATGTTTATATCGTTTTAGGTATAGTGGATTTGATAGATGATGCTGATGAAACAGCAATAAAAGTTTCTTCAAATGCACATAAATTAATTATGGACAATGGTTTAGATATCAATGGATTAACAGCTTTAAGTGCTGATAATACAAACGTCAATGTCGGTGAAAATCATTCGATTTATTCGTTATTTAGAGATGAATTACCTAATCTTATGAAAGGTAATACAAACTTAATGAGTTAAGAAGCACATGTTCTTTTATTCACTTTTATCTTGATTTATGGACACTTTGGATAGTCATTCGCCGTGATTTATTTAGACATGACATTAGCACATTCGAAAGTCTGTTCTACAGGAATAGTTTTAAACAGTGCACAGACTCTATCTACAGTTTTTTCGAGGACAATCGATAACCGTCTTGTACTCATAAAATCGTCGTAAACGTTCTCACGTTGTCTTCTTTTAGGTAACTGTTATTCACATATTCTCCACAATAGTGTTAAACATGCTCATTGTGAATTATCTATTAATATCGAACAAGTGTTGTTAACGATATATTCGCATTTTTCACGTTCGGCAAAGCGTATTAGCGAACTCAAACAATACTACGAATTTTATGAACAAGATTTCAAGGTAAAAATATTTCTAAATATTGTTCTTGCTCATACACGAATCTGATACATAACACTATCTGTTTTTTCATTGTAGGTGATCCTGAAACATATAAAACTTAGATGGTTAAGCTTATATTTATCAATACAACGTTTAACAGAGGTGTTTGTACCTGTAAAAAGATATTTTCTTGATCAACATGATGACTGTCCAATGGAATTAAAAAAGTTTTTTGAACTTGATGAAGCCACGTGCGTCTTGAGTTTTTTACAAAGTGTCTTATTTGATCTTCATAAAAAAAACCTCGAATTACAACGTTATTATACAACAGCAGTTGATTTATTTAGAATCATTTCATCAATTAAAATGAAGTTAAACGAACGAATTGATTCTGAGTTTTTTGGTTCAGCTTGTCGATATAGATTAGCACGTTTGCCAATTAATACACAAAATATCCTTAAATCATCGTTTATCAAATTTTTAACTAAAATTATTTCTTACATTGACTCTTACTTTGATCAAAATAATGTATTTTATCGTACAATTAGTTATTTCGGTCAAGAAAATGTCGAAGCTTTAACATGGAATCAAGTTGTTGAATGTGTTGAAATGATACATATCAAGGATCTGGATGAGGATCGCTTATTTGATGAATTTACAAACTTAAAATCAACATTACGAACACTTTTAGATCAACCTATTCCTTTATTTGATCAAGTTAAAGCATTTATAACCAAGCAGAATAACTTAGTAACAACAGATGCTGGTGATGAAGAAAAGGAAAATGAGGATGAGGATGACGATACTCATTTAACAGAGAGTAAGATTGTAAGATCCGATCAACTCTGGATGTTATTACTTTCTCTTACTCCATCACCAAATTTTAAAAAACTCTTATGTTTTTTGTTTTCATTACCTTGCAGTAATGCTTACGTTGAATCTGTATTTTCACAAATGAAACATTTAGTAAATGACAAGCGGAATTGTATGACAACTGAACTAGTATCAGCTGAACTAAAAATACGTCTGAATGCTACTTTACAATGCGCTGATATGTACAAGTATATATTATCGAACCAGGATATATTGAAAGCTATTAGATCAGATGAAAAATATACGTTTAAAAAGAAAAATGTTCAGTAAATGTATCTATCTATGTTTAATTTTGTTTTCTTGATTTTGTGCAATAAAATTAAAAAGATAATGCTAAACCTTCTTGCTATTTCATTACGAATAGGCTTAAACCATAGTTTGATATTAAAAAAAAACTTTCTGCTTTTTTTTCTGCTTTTTGACAATAAAACTTCTGTCATTTTCTGCTTTTTATAGATCATTTTCTGCTTTTCGAACGGCAAAAGGTGGCAGCACTGG